CCCAGTCCTGGTACTCCTTGAGCGCATGTGGGTTATTGGCCTCAATGCCGTCCGCCAAAGTCTCCTGTGCCCTAAGATCACTCTCAACTTGTTCTAGAGTCGTGGCCTTCGCCAGAGCAAAAAATTCTCCCCCACTCCTCTCCTCCTCGCTGAGGGCTTCTTCGGCAGCTGCCTTTGCCTCGGTGGCCCGTTGGCGGATCTCGGCAATTTGCCTTGAGATTTCACTCAGGGCCCTTTTCTCGTCTTCCAGGTTCTTGATAATCTCGACGTTCTTCTCCTTCAACACTTCAAAGTCAGACTGGGCTTCGATGAGAAGTACCTTTGCTTCCTGAAGGGCCTGATACGCCTCTCGGATGCCCGAAAGTTTCGCTTGATGCTGTAAAACGGCTTTGGCCGTTTCGAGAACGGCGCGATCGTGCTGCTTCTCGAGATCGGCCAGTTGGGCCTGAGTTTCGATGAGCTCCTGCCTCTTATCCTGCTCGGACCTCTTCTCGGATTCTGGAAGTCATGTTAGCAAGACGCATGGCTAGTTCGGGTCAACGAAAACCTACCGATCTTGTCAGGGAGAGCTTGCCAAATGCTGTGTTCCCTTTGTAGCTCGTTTTTCTCGGCTCGTATTTGCTCCTGTTTGTGCGTGTCAGTGGATTGGAACCATGAAATTACAAGCCGGGTAACGTACGAGTTTATCCTTGATTGTTATTATCTCATTACGCAGTACATCCATGCGCCCTACCAACTCATCATGTGTCTGTTTCAATTCCTCGCGTTCGGCGCGGGCTTCATCCCTCTGACGCTCCAATTCCCTCTTCACGGAGTCATCCACCGGCTTGTCTGTCCAGAACTTGCCCGGACGGACCTGCATAACGCGAGTTGATACGGCATTGGGGCCGTATTCTACACGGCGGTTGCTCATGTAGGATTGCTTTCCGGCAGCGAAAAAGCGTATGCGGCCGTCCAAAGTGATCTTGTGGTATTGTTCTTCCGAAATATCAGCAAGTCCAACTGCAGTACTGTGAAGTTTTTTCTCGGAGCACAACATGGCCAGTACTGGGCTTGGACCTTCAAGACAGTCAATGATGAACCCGTCAAGACCAAACGCGTTGAGTTCGGCCTGCGACGTAGGCCGCCTGAAGGAGTCGACGTCGGCTTCGCAGCATCGCAAAGTGGCGGAAAGCCCCATTTTGTTGATGACTTGGTCACTGAGCGTCTTGTGATCCTTTCTGGTCTGTGACGTAAAGCACAAGAAATCACTCTCCTGCAGAAAGGCTTGAATCAGGTTGGAATAACGAGGATCCTTGACGGAGCAGGTCAGCATCGGGGGTCCGAAGACCTCCTTCTCAAAAACGTTCTGGTTCTCCTGTAGCCATTCCCAGATCTGGGCAGCGTCCCTGTTGGCCTGTTGCAGCTGGCTGAGTAACTGACCCTGGTGAGAATCGAGAGCCGCTATCTTCTCCTCCGCCGTTCGGATTGTCCTATTTATTTCTCTCCCTTGAGATTTTAACGTCGTCACTTGATCATTCACTTCCGCGATCTCCTGTTCCTTATCGCGAATCACATGCTCTTGCTCTCGCTGTTAGGTGTCAGCATGGTAACAAGGTCACTCGATCGCCGTCAGGAAAGGATTACTTACAATCCGCCTGTTCCATTCGGCTGGATCAAAATCCCTGGGGTTCTGTTTGTGCTTGGCTTCCAACTCGGTGATCTTCTTACGGATCTTGCCAAGTTCCTGTCTTCTAGCCGCAAATGCGCCTTGTTCCGCTTCAAGCTGACCAGCGAGGTTCTTGACTTTGCTCTCAGCCGCCTCGATTCCTCTGACAGCATTGTCAGCATCTTTTTCGGCGTCTCTCAACCTGGCTGTCCTGGTTTCGACAGCGGCTTTAATACCCTCCACGTATTCCTGCTTCTTATTAACCGCCTCCAAGGATGGAGCAGAGTCTCGCTGGAGTTGGTTCAGACGTCGTTCTGCTTCCTTCTTCTTCCTTTTCTCAACGTGAAATTGTTCACGGGCCTCGTTATAGGCAACCACAAGCTTCAGCTTTTTGAGTTTGGCAATGGCGACCTCGTACTGTTCCTTTTCCCGAAGCCTCTCGACATCAGTCTGCAGAGCTGCTTGGCGCTCCTCCAATCTCTTGATCTCCTCGCCGCTCTCGTCGGCACTGCGCTGGGCTTCTGCTTGGACCCTGTAGTGGTCTTTCAGTTCGCTTTGCCACGCAATCATTTCTTCCGGTGCGGCGGCTTGCAAAGTCTTTTCCAGCAACTCGACCGGAGTGAGGCCAGCAAACTCGGCCACTTTTTCCTGGGGCAAGAATTGACAGAGATTGTCGATTTGGATGCGTAGCGACTTCATCAGTTGGCGTACTTCCTTGTGAGTCGCTTGCTCATGGTTGATGGTGAACCTTGTTTTGTTGGTCTCTCGGATGATGAGCAGACCGACGACGTAGTTGTCCTCTCCGGGTTTCCCCTGAAGTTCCACCTCGATCCTAGCTTCGTCCTTTCCGTGCTTTACAAACTCTCCGACGGCAGTGGCGCGGCCCAATACACTGGAAGGAAAGCCTAATCCCAAGCAAATAGCACAGACAAGCGAGCTCTTTCCGGTGCCGTTGGGCCCAATGACCATGTTCAAACTCGGACCAAGATAAAACTCGGCCTCGTTGTAGGTGACGAAATCCTTGAGTTTGACACGGACAATGGCACCAGGCTGGAATCCGGAACTGCTTTGGCCATTTGGCTGGGGTGATGCCGATGCTGTAGGGTCCCTTCTCCTGCGTGATCGGGCTTGTGGCCTGTTGCCGTCAATGTTGTGTGAACCATCGCCTCCTCTGAGGTTGAAGCTGCTGAACATGTCGTCATCCGTTAGATTTGGCTGTCCCGCGGCGGGGAGGGACATGAGCTCAAACGCCATGCTTGCGGGAATGTGAGATTGGGGCGAAAATAGACGAGTTCCGCTGCAGAGACTGGCAAGAATGGTCTCGCGTGTGGAATCTGGGCATATTCCAGCGATTGAAAGTTCAGAATCAAAACCCGGCCAAAGGCTGGACCTGGACCTGAGACAAATCTGAGGCGAGACTGGATCAGAACCAATGGGACGACGGAAGATGCTGGACTAGTATGATGTGTTTAAAAACTGGCACGGAACCCAAGGCTGGGGATCAAACGAGGACGTGAAGAGATACAAAGGACGGATGTCGTTGAACAAGTCTAGAATGGACGCGACAGTGGCGCGTTGGTCAATGGAGTTTCCTGAATGGGTCGTTGCGATAGTGGAGAGCAGAAGAGACGGGTGCGGGTCGCCAGATCACGAGGTGGGATAGCTCGTGCGTTGCTGCCCCTGCCCGCTGAAATTGGTAGTTATGCATCTTATGCACCTGTCTGGTCCAAGCTTCAGGACCCTTGTGCATCTTGTGGCTTGGCGTCGAGTCAATTTTCTGTACAGGTTAAACTTCCTGACTTCATGGCATTGCTCACGACCACTAGACTCGAGCTGCTTTTCTCTATGAAAAGCGGTGTTTTCGATCTCTCAAATATCCATTGGCGCAACTATAACTTGAAAGAGCCGCGAGAAGCCTCTCACATTTTCGGAGACACGCATTCGCAGGACCTGCTGTTGACTCATGTTTGGGCTTATCCATTCCTCCCATTCATATCAATGGCCACTTCCCCAGCTGCTTCGCTTTATCTTCGCCCCAAGCTTATAATGGTTTCTTATACCTGGTCTTTGGGCGGAATTTCAACGGTTGTCAAAGTATGGGAAGCAATCGATAAACTCAGAAGTTCACGGCAATGCTTTGCACGTCTAACGGAGTTGAACGGCACACAACGAACGTCCACTGGAACACCGCAACAAAGCTTACTTTCCATCTACAGATGACATTGAATCTCATTTTACGAGTTCATGGTTTCCAGGCATTTTGTCTTTGGGGAGTTTTGTCTGTGCATGTGTACTATCGAAGTTTGCCTGCTCCAAAACATACTTCGTATATGGAATAGGACCGTGTTAATGGGCACCCCATTCTTTGGGCTTGACGAGACGTATGCCTTCAGACGTTTTCTTTTCAGCTAGAGAGCTGTCAAGGTATCTTACTCGCCCAATTGCAACGTATGGGGTGCAATCAAGGCGAGTTCATGAGGGAGTGTCTTTGCAGACTGGCAATCATGAAGGGAATGAGTGGAACAGGGGGGCGGCAACTCGAGAGAAACTTCCTCCCAACAACCAACATATTGGAACCTTTAACTTGGTCAAACCAGGAAGGCCAATGTAATTCCGGGCCATGTTGTTGTTCGTCCGATGTCACTGGAATGGTGCCGGCCGGAGTATCGTGGTCAATCAAGGGCAGGCCGTTGCCGGGGAAATCGCTCCTTCCATTCCAGAGACATCGACTCTGCGGGCCCAAACATTGGACGGCCACACAAAACCAAAAAAACCTGAAAGTTACGACGGCTGGTCCGGTCCGTCAAGTCCAAGATTTCCACAGCCAATTCTGATGTATTGTACCGGTAAAGTCGTCCCGCCCCAAATCTGAAGTGCCAGCCGCAGCCTCAGACCTTCCACCTCCACCCTTCCCGTCCGCCTCTTCACCCTTTCCTCACCCTCTCCTCACCCTCCACTCTCCTCACCTCCATTTTTCGATACTTCCACTTCGACCTACCGCGTCCTCGACATCATTCAATTCTTGCACTCACACTTGCGCAAACCATCCCGTTGGGTTCAACTCAATTCGTCTCGGGATTTCCTATCTTGTTGCTCGTGTCTCTCCTTCTTCCTCTCCTGTTGCGCTCCTTGGCATCGCCAGTTCGGCATTGCTCTTGCCTGTCGTCTGTTGTTGTCTGTCTCTACCTTACTTGGGTAGTAGCCTCACTCTCCCTTTTCAGAGAAGAGCCCGCGATCGTACTGAACATCTACAGCCGCCCGTCGCGACTTGATTGCTTCGTTCACGTCGGTCATCCTCCACCGATATTGGCGAGGCTCTACTATCCTTCCATGCCACGCTGAGTCTGTTACCATGGACAAGCGAACGGGCTCTCGTGTTTCCGTCCGCCAACCCCTCGGCGACGCGACCAACAGAGCAAACATCGCCGCAATGCAAACCAGCTCGCGACCCAAGCTCGAGGCTAACGCAAAGTCATGGAAGAATACCAACCGCTGCAAATCTAACCCTCCCATCAATACCGACATCCCTCTCGTTCAGCATCATATCGTAACCATCCCCTCTCCAGTTGCGGTACCGGATGTCCCCTCCATGAGCCGCCTCCGCCACCCTTCTTCACTTCAGCAGATGAACACCCAAGCCTCTGATGCGCGCCGTGTCTCGCAATTCTCCAATGTCTCCTCCAATGCGTCCATCACACGCCTACAAAAGACCCATATCGGTCCATGGCAGTTGGGCAAGACCCTGGGCAAAGGTGCCTCTGCCCGCGTTCGCCTTGCGCGCCATCGCACCACCCACCAGCTGGTCGCCATCAAGATTGTAGCCAAGAGCACTGCCCACGTTACGCAAGCTACGAGTATGGCGAACCTGGACCGAGTCGACTACCGCAAGCCAAGCATGAGCACCGACGGGGTCCGCCGAATGCCCCTCGCCATCGAGAGAGAGGTTGCGATCCTGAAGCTCATTCAGCATCCGAACATCATCAAGCTACATGACATCTGGGAGAACAGACAGGATATGTAAGACAAGCATTGCTATACCCGGTTCTTGGTGATTGGCTTGGCTAACATCTGGTCCAGCTATCTTGTCACGGAGTACGTCGAAAAGGGTGACCTGTTTGACTTCATCAACTGGAACGGCAGCCTCAACGAAGAGGAAGCGATTTTCTACTATCGGCAAATCATGAGCGCTCTAGAGTACTGCCATAGCTTCAACATCTGCCATCGGGACCTGAAGCCCGAAAACATTTTGCTCAAGGCAGATGGCCAAATCAAGATTGCCGATTTTGGCATGGCAGCCCTGCACCAGGAGCCAACCCATCACCTCAAAACCGCTTGCGGCAGTCCTCATTATGCTGCCCCCGAGCTGCTGAAGCATCAACCATACAAGGGCTCAGCCGTGGACATATGGGCCATGGGAGTTATTTTGTTTGCCATGTTGGCTGGCCGTCTCCCCTTCGATGACAGTGACATGGACACTATGCTTCAAAGGGCCAGAAAAGGCTATTACAAGATGCCAAACGAGCTCTCTCGAGAGGCTAAAGACCTTATCCGGAAAATCTTGGTCGTCAACCCATTGCAACGCATTACCATGAAGCAGATGTGGAAGCATCCCCTCATCAAGAAGTATGACTATGTCGACGATTATCAGCAGAGCGATGGTCAACCGCAGGACGTCTTGAGGAACGCAGACATTGGTCCCATCCCGGAGAAGGAAGTTGATCCCCAGATTCTCAGACAGCTCAAGGCCATGTGGCATGCCTATTCAGAGGCCCAGATCAAGGAGAAACTTGGTCAAAACAAGTAAGTCTATGCCTCTTTTATCCAATCTCCATTCACCCCTCATGCTAACCTTGCGCAACAGACCAAACGACCAGAAGGTGTTTTATTGGCTTCTCTACCGGCATAGACATGCACAGCTCGAGAACTATAACAACGACATCCCCATTTCGAAGAGCGATTTCCACCACTTGAAGCCCCCTAACTGGGGCAAGCGCATCTCGACCTGCGAATTCACGCAGTCCTCTAGAAATGGTCATGGGAGAAGCATTTCCAAGTTCACTGTCATCTCCAACGTCGCCGAAGTTAATGATTCCGGCACTGTCAGGAGCTATGATCCTTACAGAGCGTCACAAGTTCTGCGCAATTGCGCTTCGGAAGCGAGCCACGCAAGGATCATTGTCCACCGCAATCCCTCCGAGCCAGGAACCCGGTCCAATACGTCGAACATTGCCCATTCATACAACTCCTATACTTCTTTTGGCGGTTCATTCCGTAGGCGGCCGAGAATGAACTCTCAACGCACAAATACCACGGGGCGCTTGCGATCGTCCATGGGATCTATGGGTTCACTCAGAAGTCTCAATGGTACACCCCGTGTGCGGGCAAACAACCGATCCAGAAGGGGTGTTGATTTTTCCAGCATTCGTGCCAGAGACCGACTCCAGGCTCGTATCCGCGAGAATGTGCGGGCTGCTCCGAGCAGTGCAGCGGGAAGTAGTGTGGTCGATAGACGTGACTCCTGCAGGCAGCAGCAGAGACAGAAGGCCGCAATTATCCATTCTGCCGACAACACTCTGAAATCGAGAGATGAGACGCTCATCTGGGACGAGGAACTGCAGCAGCTTGGTTATAGGATTGCAATGGATTGCGATGAAGCATTCCGTAGCTCTCTTGTCGGGTCTGAATCTAGTGTTGCTGTTAGCGGGTCTCGTGAGAACAGTCCGTTTTCCCTCTCCCTGGGTGCATCTTCGCCATCTCCGCAGCCAGAGTCGCCGACGGCACTACCCCTTGAACAACAAGCCGTCAATCATTCGTGGGTGAACCGACCTCTTCCTCCGATCCCATCCATCGAAATATCTCCAGCTGTAAATCAGACCTATGGGGTAAATGTAGTCCATCCAGCTCCTCTCAGGATAGAGCGACTTTCTCTAGGCAATTGCGCCTCAGCCTCACAAACTATTGTCCCAGACCGCCGCATTGTCTCGGAGCCTGCCTACACGACGCCTGCCAACAGGGACCCCCGACAACTACCGTCCATAAATGAAACGGCGTCCGAAGACTGGACACGAAATGCTTCCACCAGATGGACATCTCCTGACACACCATCACCGGCTGAGAACAACAAAGCGCTGGACTACCTGGCTAGAGCCGAGAACACTATTCGTGTGGTCAACTCTCCTACGGCAGGCCCCGTCCCTATGCCGGAACCTCTTAATGTCCGCAAGGTCTCCAAGGCGACCCCAGCCGCGTCTTGTGAAAGCAACTACCGCAAGACAGCCTTGTCGAACATCCCTCCTGATTTCAAGGAGAACTACCCACCGGGAACACAGCAGGAAGAGCAGGGTGTTGGCGATAACACTGTCAATGCTGGCGCTCCAGCTAAGAAGCGTGTCCCGTCTTGGTTCAGGCGGTCCTCCAAAGAGAACACGAGCTTTGCCACCACCGCCAATACGGCCGCGATTCACAACGATAGCACAATCATCTCTGATATTCACCAGCAACTGGACGGACTTGAATCACAGTCTAGTGCTAGACCAGACCCGTATCCGAACAAGAAGAAGGCCTTCAGCCTTGCATTTTGGAAGGGATCCAAGAGTGAGAACTCGTCGCCTACAGGTAAGAATGACCTCTGTATGTATGTGGAAGCTTAACTTACTGACATTAGATGCAGCATCGACTTTTGATATCAGCACCAGCAAAGAAGGCGGTGGGAAGAAACACAAGTCCAGCAAGAGCGAGTCGAGAGTGGTTAGCGGCGCGACTTCACAGAGCTGGGGTGAGGGCGAAGGGGTTGGCCGTCAAATTGAGGTTCAGCAGAACTGGCTGGCCCGGCTGTTCCGGGTCAAGCCTGCTACGCGACACCTGTGCTTCTCCATGCCTAGACGGCGGGCTCGGCAAGAGGTAGCGATCCTGCTCAGGGAGTGGCGCCAGTTTGGCATCAAGGATGTCGAGGTTGATAAGGAACGCAACATCATCTTTGCCCGCGTGGGCGCCCAGAATGGTGAGTCATTTTTGTCTGGTGTTCGGCATCAGGGCTATGTGGGGACATGGATATGCTGACGTTTTGATGTTCGATGTCCAGTGCACAACGTCAAGGAGGTCTCGTTTGCGATTGAAATCATGATGGTAATTGAGCATGGCAAGCGTAACCAGCGAACCCAACTCAGCATTGCGCGTTTCACGCAGGAGAAGGGAGCAGCTAGCAGCTTCCACAAGGTTGTTGATGCGATCAACGTGGAGTTCCGCAACCGCGGGCTGCTTGTCACCGACAAGCGCAAGACGCAGATGATGATCAAGACTCTCAACTCTTGATTGTATCCTATGCGGACCTCACCTCTCGCCATCATTGCTCACACTCTTCTTTCACCATTGCAGTTGCTGCGAAGTCGACATTGACGGCGTGCTGTTGTTGCCGAACAAAGGCTCGAAGCATATTATGTTGTCTTTCTGGTGGACATTGCAATTTTCTATGCCCAGCTTATACTATCGTTGTTTAGGGGTCTTATCATGTTGCCTTTGGTGTAAACGGAGTGATGGGGCACCTTGTTGGACTAGGATTGGATGTGAGGAAAATCCTCTGGAGTTTCAGGATGGCGAATGGATACGGGTTATTAGTCCTGGTCGTATAGAGGGGGGGTGAGGAACAGTCCTTGGGTTTGTTACAAAGAGAATGGGCAGGGGTAAGAAGTTGTTTGTTTACTCAAAAAGGGGGTGGTGGTGGTGAGGAAGAAAACAACGAAGCGACAGATCCGAAGATGCCCTCCGTCTTTCCCTACGTAATCTTGGCATTTGGCGGCTATGGTGGGGATGGTGGAGCCCAGTTGATGAGTGAGTCCGCTTGACAAGCTGTGTTTATTGGAAGTTGCGAGTCGTTGTCGTTGAGAAGGACGACATTCAGGAGAAGATGGAGATGGAGAGATGGAAAAGGGGACGGGGGACATTCATGATTCCCTTTGACATGAGCTACTACAGTACCTTTTGTTATCTTTTAATTGTGGTCTTGAGCTGGTGTATGGAGCTTGAGATGCTAGAAGCTTGTAATATTTATGTATCTTCCATGTCTAGGAGTCAGTGCCGTGGTAGACCCAAATGAAAAAAAAAAAGGTGTTAAGTTTCAATGAGAGGTTTTCGAGATTCAACTAACTGTGCAGCCAACAAAAGAATTTCTACGACACTGTTACCATGATGGTTTGTTTGTTGGTCACCTCAGATTGGTCAATGCCAACTGTTCCCTTTTGCTGTTCGCGTTTGAACGGGGTTCCGATTGGGCGGTGATGGGTAGTAACCGGGGTGGCCCGGCCGGAGCTAGGGTAACGGACCAGCGGGTTGCGGGCAATTCTAGGGTTTATAGTGAGCGCAGACCGCTGCTGCCGTGTTTGGGGGCCGCGAGAGGGGGAACAGGCGGGATAGCGGGACACGCGGGACTGGGCAGTGGACGGGCGGCCAGGGGTAGGTAGCTCGGGCTTCCTCAATTGACAAGGAGGCATGGGGTTAGTTGTTGCCGGGTCGCGCGAAAGGGTGACGACACGGCAGAAAAAAATGGAAGCTCTGAGACGTTCGTTGTCCTGCTGGCGGACGGCGGGACGGGACCTAAGTAACCATTGCGCTTCTCGCTTCCGCTTCCCGAGTGCTGGCGACTGACGAGGAGGGTTCATGGGTTGGTTCCATATTCCACGAGGGGCCCGTGGATGAGTGCTTTTTATAAGCGCGCGAACGCGTGAATTTCCGTGATTTCCTGTTGTTCCTGAACTTGTTAAATATAATAATATCTCAAGCCTCCCTATCCTCCTCCCTACGGAGCTGCTGTTTGTGACCTTTCCTGGTGCGTATATTCCTTAATTTAGTTGTTTCCATTTGTATGTTTACTTTGCATTCTCTTGATACCCCCATCATCTCTGCCAACGTCACTTTCCACTCCTTCTTCATTGCCCTGAGTATTTTATGAGTAGTCGCATCTCCATTGTGTGGGAATACCTACTACTATCGTACTACCAGGTGTAGTGTCGATTTCCCCTCATCACCACCTATCATCAGCATCATCTGACCACAAGTCGCATCTCCTGCTCTCCAACCGACATACCCCGCTATCACCAAGCTTCCAGACCACCACCTTCCGGTGCTAGCCACACGCATACGAGCACAGTTCGCTTACACACGCTCTCCCAATAGAATATTAGTAACCATGCTTCGATCGATGCGCACTGCCGGCCGCCTGGCCAAGCCTCGGGCTGCTGCTGCCGTTGCTAGCACATGCCTTTCTGGCACCGCCCGCGTTGCTTCAAATGTCGCCAGCTCCTCCTCCTCCAAGGCCGCCATCAGCTTCTCCGTTGCTCCCAAGACCTCTGCCCGTTACTTCTCCAGCTCCTCCGCCATGGCCAAGAACACCAGAATCGAGACCGACGCCTTTGGCGAGATTGAGGTCGAGGATGACAAGTACTGGGGCGCCCAGACCCAGCGCTCTCTGAGCAACTTCAAGATCAACCAGCCCCAGGACCGCATGCCTCCTCCCATCATCAAGGCTTTCGGTATCCTCAAGGGCGCTGCCGCCAAAGTCAACACGCGCTACGGCCTTGGTACGTGAATTCCTCTTCTTGGGAGCTCTGAAAGAGCTATGCGCGCAGAAGCTGACCTTTGGGCGAGTTACAGACCCCAAGATTGCCGAGGCCATCCAGCAGGCCGCCAAGGAGGTCGCCGACCTCAAGCTCCTCGACCACTTCCCCCTCGTCGTCTGGCAGACCGGCTCCGGCACCCAGTCCAACATGAACGCCAACGAGGTCATCTCCAACCGTGCCATTGAGATCCTCGGCGGCGTCAAGGGCTCCAAGAAGCCCGTGCACCCCAACGACCACGTCAACCGCTCCGCCTCGTCCAACGACACCTTCCCCACCGTCATGCACATCGCCGCCGTCCTCGAGGTCGAGGGTGAGCTCCTGCCCGCGCTCAAGTCCCTCCGCGACGCCCTCCAGGCCAAGGTGGACGAGTTCGAGGCCAAGAAGATCATCAAGATCGGCCGCACCCACTTGCAGGACGCCACCCCCTTGACTCTCGCCCAGGAGTTCTCTGGCTACGTTGCCCAGCTCGACTTCGGCATCAAGCGCGTCGAGGAGTCCCTCCCCGACCTCCGCCTGCTCGCCCAGGGCGGCACCGCCGTCGGCACCGGCATCAACACGTACATTGGCTTCGCCGAGGCCATTGCCGAGGAAGTCACCAAGATGACCGGTACCGAGTTCAAGACGGCCCCCAACAAGTTTGAGGCTCTCGCCGCGCACGACGCCCTCGTCCACGCCCACGGCGCCCTCAACACCCTGGCGGCCTCCCTGACCAAGATCGCCCAGGACATCCGCTACCTCGGCTCCGGCCCCCGCTGCGGCCTCGGCGAGCTCAACCTGCCCGAGAACGAGCCCGGCTCGTCCATCATGCCGGGCAAGGTCAACCCCACCCAGTGCGAGGCCTTGACCATGGTCTGCGCGCAGGTGATGGGCAACCACGTGGCCACCACCATTGGCGGCATGAACGGCCAGTTCGAGCTGAACGTGTACAAGCCTTTGATCATCCGCAACTTCTTGCACTCTGTCCGCCTGTTGGCCGATGGCATGCGTTCGTTTGAGAAGAACCTGGTCCACGGCTTGACGGCCAACGAGGAGAGGATTGCCAAGATCATGAAGGAGAGTCTGATGCTGGTTACTTGCTTGAACCCCAAGATTGGCTATGACATGGCGTCCAAGGTGGCCAAGAATGCGCACAAGAAGGGCTTGACGCTCAAGCAGTCGGCGCTCGAGCTGGGCGCGTTGACGGAGGAGGAGTTTGATGCCTTGGTGAAGCCCGAGTTGATGATTGGTCCTCAGCCTTATAAGGGTTAGATCTGACTATTGATTGGTCTGGGCAGGGGGGGATAGAGAGGGAGACGGAGAGGGGGAAGGAAGGTGATGATGATTTGTAATTCTATGTAGAATGAAGCCTCAATGATACCATTTTGAAGTACGCCTCCTTTCAAGTCCCAGGTCCCCATTGTGTCCGACTGCTCGAAGTGAGCTGCGTGGCGTGCTTGTTTAAGCTCATGTTGCGTAGTATACATTCACGGGAGCTTTCAAGGTCTTGTATCCCTTCTGTTTTCTTCCTCCGTTGCCCCATGAGGGTAGTGTTTCGCGATCCAGGCAAAACCGTTTAGGAGAGGAGGTTTCTATAAGTAAGGCCAGATAAGTACCCCAACTATGTATGTCCGAACTTCCTACTTGTCAATCAACTTGCACTCTTCCCCCTGCCACACTGAGGTTATCTTGGCAGACCTGGTGCCGGGAACCAAAGTCCGGGATAAATGGAATTGGATGAGATGGGATAGACGGCATGAAATATATCAATCAGTTCAATCCCAACGATCTCGTCGGGTCGAGCGGACAGTTCTCATCCGAAGAGTTGAGTTCTCTTTCGAAGCAATTTAAGAACGGAAGTGTGATTGAATGTTTGGATTGAAAGGAAAGTCAAGAGACCTTGTTTGTCTCAAGGTATGGAGAAGCAAACTGTGACGCGAGAGACTTGAAGAGTTTTTGAAGAGATCTTGAAGAGTACTTGAAGAGACCTTGAAGAGTTCTTGAAGAGTGCATGAAGAGTGTATGAAGAGTACTTGAAGAGATCTTGAAGAGATCTTGAAGAGTCCTCAAAGAGTCCTCGAAGAGTCAGTCCCTGACGATATAAAAATATAGTAGTTTGCCCAGGATCCGCAATGTCCTATCCCAGTGCTAAAGCACAACCAGTTTCAATCCTTCTACTCTCTGCCTACCTATTCTTGAGGATCTCTCTTCGCGAAGCCAGATGGATGCACGGGAGATCGAAAATTCTGACCATCACGTCTTTTTTTTCTTTCTTTCTTTCTTTCTTTCTTTCTTTCTTTCTTTCCTTCCTTCCTTCCTTCTTCCCAACGCAACTCCCCGATCTCGTACTTACTTCGTCTCCTTTTTTGCCCCTAGATGTTCCTGAACCTTATTTCTCCTCTGCGGTCTTTCTTCGTTTTCCCGAAATGTGCCTTGTCATGTAGTCATTTGCAAAGGTAATGTCTCGACAGCCGGCACCGGAAGCTTCTTTTCTAGAGACTTACCGGTTGTATGCGGTGAGTACAGATGGAACTGAACTGTCTGTACCTACCCTTTGACCGAATCCGAAAAAGCATATGTAGCATGTGTGTACGCTGCCTATGTGCTGCCATGTATCTCGGTAGCCTATGCTATGCAAGCTTGCCACTGCGGTTTGTGCAGTACCTATGTACCTACGTTTAGTACGTTGCATGGTTGATGCAAGGTATGATGTTGTCTCGGACA